TTGAATTTCAACGATATGTTCACTAGAGACTGGCCGCTTTCAGGTAGGTAGTTAACTTTAGTTCTAGTGGGAAGTCGTAACCAGTAAGGTACAGCAGGTCAGGTATGAGGATAAATACTCGGCGAAGACATTGGCTAGTGGTCACACTACGTCATGTATTGGCAGAAGATAGAATTCATGGGTTGGCCATTGAATCGGGTCTCAGTGGTTTAATGGTCTACGAGCTAGCTCGTCTTGTAACCAGGTCCTGTTTCGAACGCTGTTGTTGGGTGCGTACTGATGAAGAGTCCCAAACTAAGAGGGAAGAAACAGCTGTCCAGTACTCCCAGGTTTTACAATGGTTCCCTAATTGACGTCAGCTAATGATAAAATCCTGTGATCTGTATATTCATTCTTTTTTCAGCTTCTTTTTATTCGTTCATTTCAAACTCTTGACTTTAAAAATTATTCTGAATGTCTCACTCTCCCAAACAATATTTTTTTTTCCAAAAAGCTTGTAGATTTTAATGGTAAACATTTCTGAACGATGCTCACCACTCTTACTGTTTTAGATTACGTAATCCATTATTTTCCCTGATATTGTAAATTCCTGTACTTGAATTAAGCAGTAACAACAGATTTTGCAGAATAAAATGGTACCATCATTTATTTCGCTGGCTTCTCATCAGCTGCTTACAGCCCAAAGATATTATTAAGTATATTTACAGCAGCAATTTTAACATACTTGTCCAGAGTTCATTTTTAAACAAAAATTCAATCAACATATGCATATAATAATAATAGTAAACACTCTATCGCAAACAGCAATAATCATAGACAATCGAAACCTCCGGAGTTAAATAATCAGATGCGAGAGGGGATGTAAACCGCTAGTTACCAGGGAAAGGAAAGACTGATAACCACTTCTCTTTGAACACATAAGTCGGATTCAAAGCGCTTGGTGGAAATGGCTTCCACGAACTTAAGAAGAATTGAACTCTTTTGCCTATTGATAATTTTACATGATCTTGAGACATCCACCTTATAACCAGTGTCAAGGAGATGCCTGGCGATGGTACTGTTTAAAGCATTTGTTCCCTTTAGACATAGGCTTTTTGGTACATGTTCAGAAAATCGGAGGTATGCTCTTCTTCTTGTTCTTCCAATGTAACGGCTCCCGTAGATACACATAAATCCGAATACATAGTTGGGGTTAACATGAGAAGGATATCTATCGATTTTTGATTGCACCAAAGAGCAAGTTGTTCGATAGACGGGAACCAGCTTCGCTGAACGATAAGCTGTGGCTAGGGACGTTCTCAACTTACCTAACTTTTTACAGTACTATATATCTAACTGTACAGCTTTGAACTGAAGTTATGAATAGAACCTGTATCTTTTTAATTAAAAGCACATATGGGCATTTTTCATACCAATATTATCACTCAAACTAATAACGAAAAAGCAGATCTATCTTAAACTGGTAAAATTATGTATTTCTATTCAGTCAGATGACTAAGCAAAAGAAGCTTTTAGAGTTACGCATCGTATATCACCCGACCTATCGCCGTATGGCCTCGGAGTACAACTTCTTTGTACACTGCAGAAGCAATTGAAATTCATCTCAACAAGCCAATTGTGTTCAAAAGAGATTTGTACAGCACCTTTCTCTGCCATGGCCAACTACATAATATGTATTAAGCTTATAAAAACGATTTTCCCCTCTCCTTGTAACTATTTTTTGAATTGGTTAATTTTTACAATTCTAGTTAATTCTATCAATTTGTTTGTATTTTACGTAATTCTACTGAGTCGTCCTATTTTTCTTAGTCATAATTATTTTACAAATTTCTTGATTATGTAATAATTTGCTGCTAACGCCTAAGAATCAACTTATCTTGAATCCCGTAATCAATTAACTTTCACTCATCCTTCAAAACTTATATATACCACCTCGTTACTAACATCTATTAGTTAATTGTTTTGATGACTTTAAACCTCTTAATTTTAAACACCCACCCACCCCTTTACCTTGAACTGATTAACCAAAATAACCACTTGATTGGTGAAAAATTTTGATGTAAAAAAGTAATATAATATAATATAATATATATATATATATAATATTAGTGTATAGACAACCCATGATGAAGAACTTATTGAAAAGGAATGTCTCTTTACTCAATCTGTTGTTTTCTCTACAAGCATAAATGGGAATTCAGTAAAAAGAAGATAGCTCATATACAAGGACTGACACATTTTCTTTTTGAAAAAATCAAGTGAAAGAAATTAATTAGATGATTTAGCAAAGTTAAACTTTAAGCACCAGTGGAGAGTGCAACCAGTGAGACCTGGTAAATTATATTGTTAACATGAATAAAAGATGCCTAATGAAGTATCATGTTATCAGATGGGATATCCAGAGCCTCAGGATGGTCGGGGGTGGGTGCCTTGCGCTGCGGGTTGGCCACCCCTCCGTACGCCTCTTGAAATGCTCCTATATGACCGGGCGTCTTACACAGCCTCTCCTGAGTAAGTCCTACTCACTGCCTTCACGTGGCGGAGGTGTTTTTCACCGAAGTGAGAGGGCGAAAGCGGATGCCCGGCGCTTTTCACCGGGTTGACTGTATATTGGATGACAGTCTAGGGGAGATGTCTAAGCCCTGATTCCAAACCTCCAACGACTGGCGTATGAAGCTCACCGGCAGACGTATGGACAAAGGGCTTATTGGATGCCCTGGATGTCTGGCCCCATTCAAAAAGACGTATGGACCGGACTCCGGCTTCCAATGGATAGTGGACTCCCTACTCCACTCCTACTGCCTTGTAGGTCACACTTGGTTGTGTAAAGGCTAGAGCTGCACTTTCAAACAAAAGGCCGAGCGATGCTGGGGACATCACTCGTACCAAATTCCCATGAAACTTCATGAACTCTCTACAACATCAACCAAATTCCAGTACTGGTCCAACAACGTTGCCTTCGGTGGTTTCGCCATGTTCTGCGCCGACCAAATGACGATCTGGTCAAATCAGTTCTAAATCCCTCGCCATTTCCATCTTGGCGATGTCGCAGGGGTGGACAGCTGAAAACATGGTTTGGTACAGTCAAGGCTGATATGGAGTGCCCGGGGCCACAAACGTCTACAGACTCCGTCTGTGGAACAAGAATTGGATAACCCTGTCGCAAAACCTTGCTTCAGATCGCCGCGCCTGGGCAGCGATGATTCGAGATGTTCATGAAGCCGGCTTATCCTCCCGTAGGAGATAGCCGAAGTCAAGTAAAAGTAAGTTTCATGGTTAGTGTTTGGAAAGATTAAGTTAAGGTTTAGGCTAAGGACAGGTTAGGGTAACCCAACGAAGGCGGTACTAGGGTACGGGAAGATTAGGATTTTATACACAAACATTGTCTTTATCATGTGATTGTTGCATTCAGGGTAATTTATCCGTAAGTACTTACTGGCGTGTGTCTAATGACTAAGTGGTGTAAGAGTAGTCTCATCAGACTAAAGTATGTTGCCTCAGATTATTTTAGATATCTCATAAACCGTTTTACTCAGAGGTACAAACTTAAGACGGATTCAATCTACGCACTCATAATGTTAGTGTGTTCTTAAATAAACTAAGCTTATCTTTGGAGTCGTCAAGTTAACAATGACTGAGATATTATTGACACTTTTCCGACTGAGATATTCACAAGACCCAGACATATCAGTACAGAACAAAATTATTTCCGAATGAATCGTTCGTAATCTAAGAGACGAACTTCTCAGTCTTGTAATATTTATGATACAATTTGGATACATGAGAATCGATTTATTTCTGCACTCCACTAGTTGAAAGTTAATTATAAAAAACCACAAAAAGTTTGTCAAGCAATGACAAAAAGTTTCAGAAACATGTGAGGGATAAATGATAATACCAATAAATTTTTGCCGCTAATTTCTTGTTAAAACGGTGATCTCACACGGACGGGATTTCAACATTCATTTTTGCCACCATTCCCCTGGCCCTTAGTACAAAACAGGGGCCACTTAACTTAGCAAGTATGAATTAAAGTAAACAATAGACATTTTTGCCTTACTAAAGACAATATACCAACCAATAAACTGCGTGATTTCATAGACATAAGAGTGGTCAAAACGCATTCTAAACGCTACTGAGTATCACTAATGATATTCATATTTTATTCACTATTGGCCAGTACGTGATAACAATCTCCATAATGAGACACACATATCTTTTTCGATACCCCTTCCTCCCCTTTTTTTAACCGATGACAAAGAAAACCACGTGATGTGACAAAACATTTTTGGAAAACTTTCTCTTGGGTGGATTATTTATCATATCACATATTGATATAGCTTATATATATATATATGTTAATGCACAACAAGAATATTTTAGATACAGTATTTCTCAAGTATTCACGTGTATGTGTGTGTTAGGGAAAGAGATTAGAACTAGAAACAGAAATAATAATCACATGGACAAACTTTCAGAAATGTGAAAAATATTTAGCTGAAGAATACACACATACACACCTTATAATAAAGAGGGAGAGAGAGAGAGAGAAAGAGAGCAATATTATATAAAGGCGCAATGTAAATTACAAGAACGAAATCAAAGTTAAATTGTACAAGATTATATTTTTTTTCAGAAATATGAAAAATAAGTTTGCCCATCTTCTTCTTGCTTAGGACGTATATTTCATGTGAATAAAGAAGTAGAGATGACAACAATGTATGGACTGAATGAGAGAGTGAGTGAAATGAAGGCAAAAAGAGGTAAGGCAATTAATCAACAATACCGGAGGACTAGGATATTAACGGTGACTATAGAATGAGTTTATCTTCTATAATCAAGATGTTGGCGAGAAAAATAACTGTAAATTACAAACAACAGATGACAAAACAAACAGATCGACAGCGATTTAAATGAAAAAATAACTTGCAGTACTGAATAAAAGTATGACTGGTCGTAGTAGATAGTGAAATGAGATATTAGGATACAGTTATGTGAATTTATGTAGCTGCCATAGTTGTAGCTCCTTGAGGAGTAGTATAAATTGTTCTGAACTGTCGGTCACTTCCTGCTATGGGGGGGCCATCTGAATTCATTCGAATAAGGTGTGCACCATTGATCTCAACTTTAAAAGCTCTCGTTATACACGATTCAGGAGGGAAAAGTTGTTCGGAATTATGATTCTTACTAACGACAGATGTCTGAACGTAGTTAGGTTCAAGGGTACTGTTAGTTGTTGCAGATGTGCTCACTGTCACGACTGGTTGATCATGTACCTAAAATATTAAAATGATATAATGTACTATGATACATTATGATAATACTTACATTGCCGAGCAAAATACAGCAATATGCTTTACACTTTTACTTCTGACGACTTTATTCCTGTGCTGACAATTGTATGATAAATTTCAAATACTGCACTTCTATGCTGGATTTAATGGTTGGTTTCTCTATGTGTAGCTACATATCTCAAATTATCGCCAAAAAAGGACGGGCATAGGGGTGATACGTTGCTAGGCTATTCAAATGCATTAAAATAAATGTATCCAAATACTAATTCACTTATACACCTGTCTTTTGAATAGCTTAACAACATGTCAGTTAATTTCAGTTCATAAAAGGTATGCACAATAATGTCACTGAAGTACTTCATACCTAACATTAAAAAATTCAACTTTACATTCCACATGAAGTAACTGGGCGCATTTACTGAAACAGACAGAAAAGGACCGCGTGTGTATATATGGGCTTGGCTGGAATATCAATACTACAATCAAAAGTGACTGAGTCTAAACGACATGTTGCTAAGTTCTTCAAAAGACGGAGAGTGATAAGCGAACTAGCATCTAGATATATTTATTCTGATTTATTTCAATAGCCTTGCAAAATGTCAGTTACTGTCAGTCCCAAAAGTCAGCAGATTTGGAAATGAAACTTCATGCATACCGAACGACACAAGCTTAGATCAGAAAGATCCCATCTTGGGGATTGAAAATGCTGCAGTATACTCACACAATGTTTGAGTACGTCGTGTAAAGGAATGCGCTTGCATTTAAACGTGAAAGTAGTGACTGTAAATACGCAAGTTTCCATTGCTATGATGAAAAATCAACCGTCCAACATTTATTGGTTTTCAATAATTTCTCGGTTGATTTCGAAGTGAAATTCCACTTGTTTGTTGAATTATTATATAACCAATAATCCCTAGATTCAGTTAAATAATGGATGTCTAGTAAAGTTTTTAGTCATTATTAAGGAAATAATTTCTCAGGGAAGTCAACCACTCTGAACATTCTCAGTAGTGAGTTATGCTACGGACAAAATATACTACGTGGTATTATTATTATTGTTCCGAATGGAAGATAGGATTTTAACAATACATCTTTGTTTTGTTCTCTGCTGTCCTCTTCAGCTGCGCTTACGATTGACCATAAACTCTCGTCTCCTACTTGCACGACCTTCTTCATGTTACCCTCGCACCAACGGACTCACTAGTTGTTTCCCATTCAGGTTCCACTGGAGCGATGACCTGTGTTGCGCCCGATGTCATTCGACGGTGTCCTCATTGTAGGACATATCTATCTCTATTTTCTCCTACATATTTTTAAACGATAAGTTCTTGGTTAGCTTCTTCCCATAGTCTTTTTTCGCCAATTCATTCTGGCCATTTGATCTTCACAGTAAAGCCAGAGAAGGCAGTTGTTGGTAAAAGTCGGTAGTAACTTGTTGGATATCCTTTAAGTAGCTCACGCGCAGTGCAAGCTTCTGACCACCCATATAGAACAACTAACTGACCTAACATTAGTGTTGTAAATCTGAATCTCATTTTTTAGGCTGGCTAAGTGCAGATTTCCGAACCGACTTCAGATTGGTGAAGGTGCATCTTGCCTTTCCGATTGTGGCTGGGGTCTTCACATCTTTATCCGCTTCACCTGTGGTTGAAAAATTGCTTCCGAGATAAGTGAAGGAAGTGATTTCTTTCAAGTCCCTCCAGTTGATAGTAATTGGTGTTGTTTGTTATCGCTGTTAGTTGGCTGGTTATCTTCATCAACCAAGTTTTCTCTGCGTTCACCTACTAGTCTTCGAGTTTGTGTGACATTAAACACAAATCATCCACGAAATCCAGATCTTCTAGTAGCAGTAGTAAAAAGAAACTCAGATCGAGCTTACCCCCAAGTGAACGACAAATTTTGTAAACCTGTTGGTTAAATCTCTGCTAACCACCAGATAGCGCAGGTGACTGGAATTAGACACTCATTTGATATTGAACGGGAACTTTCATTGTAAAGCTTCTGTGGGCAACAAAGAATCAGCAGAGTCTTTCGATTTGGGTAGACATAATCGTACATTATTATTCTCTTAGGTTCCGAGTGGAAACATAAGGCTTCAATAGACAACCCTACAAGTCACTCCCTTTTCTGCAGTCCTTTTTAGCTGGCTCCATGATTGCCCATAAGCTTTCATCTCCTAAAGTGGTCTTCTACATAACATTCTATGATGCACATCCACTTCGTCATTTCCCTGAAAGGGTTCTACTCGAGGGCCTTACACACGTGACGTCACTCAGCGATCTTCTCAGTGTGTATGCCTGATTCATCTCCATTTTCTTTGGCATATTTATTATTAGGCAATATATTTTTGGTTGGTTGGCTGCCAGAGTTCTTCGTTGCAAATCCATACTGCTATCAAAATTGAACTATAAGTTGAGAAGAGAGTAATTTATATCACACACACACACACTCAGTGTAATCTTGACGGATGTGGATAAGTCTAAAAACCCTATAGGAGAAACAGATAACATCTATAAGAATATTTTGCAATTATTTATGATTAAAATATGTTTGCCATATTCAAATTAATGTAGTAAAACTCACAGGTTGATCAACTACTCGGGGATTGCTTATTAAAACATACTGCTTTCCATCAGCAGAGCCTCGAACAACAGCATAACGATAAGGAGTTGTAGTGTTAATGTTTGTATCTGAAAAAGTACAAGTGTAACATTATGTATTCATCACTCTCTAATGAATTACTTAAAATACACAGAAAGACTTAAAAAAACAGGTCTATGTGATAAGATTCGTGCAAAATAAAGTAAATCTAATTGTAATAGAGTTTATACAAATCACTGTAACCTATTCCATTAGAAATAGGTCACTACCATACAGAAATAGTCTTAACAACAATTAAGGAGAACATCTGAAATCCAAACAATCCCAGTGACCACATGAACCCCCCCCCGTGTTTTAATTCGAAAGATGCTCAGGGACTAAAATGAAAAATGAAAACTTACTTGTCGGCGCTGGACTTTGATGAACGGTTCCGGAATTCTGAGATGTATTTGGTACAGTTGTAGGAGTATGTGATGAAACTTTGTTGTAAGCAGCAGGACGCTTGCCGAACAAACGATCACTAGCAGTTTGATTAGGATTCAAGCAGTCTGAAGGGGTAGAAGATGTGGTAACTAGCTGTAGTAGTTTGGGGGTTGCAGTACTTAAACTGCTAGAGGGTCCGGGCTCTTCTGTAGTTATTAAACTAATAGGCTTTTGCTGTTGTGAAGCACCATTAGAGTTGAACATAGTAATTGGACGGCTAGAACTTGAAGTTGATTGATCAGTGTCAGTATTTGATGTTTCAAAAACTAGAAGGTAAAAGAAAACGATCTTAAGCGTGAAATCATTTAAAAATATGAAAACAACTATAGAACGCTCGCCATAATTTTCAGTAAACATAAATCTGATAAGAATTGAGTACACTGAAGGGCTTTCCGTTAGCTAGCAGTCCCGAAACTAAGACAAAATAATACTTTAGACGAAGTACCCACCAGGATATTACGACTAATCAAAATCTTAAGAGTACACACAGAAAAGTATTCATAAAGAAGCGAAGATAAGTTAATTTTAGATATTTACAGTAACTTAATGATTAAAACCTTGGGCCAACTGCGACCTTTTAATGTTATAAAGTAGACAAAACCATTCTGACTTTACCGAAGTACATCGCTACCGATGATATTTTGGAAAAAATATATATATAAATGGATACCTAAAACTTTCTTCTTAGAAAAATGAAGCTTATATGACCAGAAAAACACTGAGAGATATATAAACTGCTCTTCTAGTATCCACCATTAAATCACTGTAGAAATGATTTATCCGGATCTACAATAAGTGCTAATTGCCATCAAGTTGAACCACTTAATCAATCACTGTGTCACAAGTGTTCAAAATGCCTTGTTTTTCTTTACCTAAAATTTTTTTGTAAGTCCTGATAACTTTGGAATTTATAACAGTCAAATATGTGAAATGAACAATCTTATCGAAGTTATATTTTTGTAATTACGCTTAATACTGACCCACTAGGATAATCATACATTTATTTAACATGAATATTTTGGATTCCAATAGATATCCTACGGCTAATGTTGAAAATGTTATTCTACCGCCTATAGTTTTACTTCGGCCGAAATATTTTCATGCATAGAGAATCGTTATCACCATACTGGTGAAACCGTGACTTGAAAATTCTGTAGGGGAAGAGCGTAGTTTTACAGTCGATTTGATGGGAACGGAATACATAATCAGTGATCAATTAAAATTGCTTAACAAAGTATACAAATCCACTGATTAAAAATAATTATTTGTTAGCATACAAAAGGGAAAACAATGTCACCACCTGTGCGTGAGGTGATCAAGGAGTTGGCAGGTGCGCTAATGCCTGTTCCCAGAGCTCGTCTCAAAATTGTTGGGCGCCGTCGAGCAGAAACTGAATTGACGGTGGAATGAGAAACAGATAAAACAGGTTTTGTAACAGGAGTCGTCACTGAACGCGTCGTACTTGGCGCCATAAAAACACGGGAAATGATAGGCTGTGGAACAACCGAGACTGGAAATAGAAAAGTATTACACAATTTCAAATTAGTATATTAACGTAGATCAGTTGTATCGCTCAAAATGAATATCCTATTGTGTATACAAGCACAGAGGAAATGAAAACAATTTTAAACAATTCCAACTTTACACCAAAGTAATCTCTATATCTCAAAATTAGGTATATCTAACTTCCACATGTCGTATTGGTTCAAACAAGGGAGAAAGAACTCGAAATGTAAGCACAATACTGATGTATAACCTACTGTCAGTACACAATTGTTTTTCTAAACTATTCACAGTGAATAAACGGACACACTAGTTGGTATTCCAACCAAAGCTACAACTATATTCACCAATGTACACAACGAGAGTCGATAGTTCAGTGGTAGAAAGCTCGCAAGTGACTTGGGGTTCAACTATTCGTCGCTACACCTCTTAACCTCACTTCACCGGTAATAACCTTGTTAAAGACGAATGGTTAGGACTGAGGTTAGCAACCCTGATGCGTAACAGACTGCTAATGAAACTTAAAAGCTCAAGCTTGAAGCCATATATGTTCCACTCAGAACGCAAAGGTGTGAAACAAAATGTATGTGACACGGTTTTTCAAGCCTGTAGTTGTGTTTATTTCTGTGATATAACTGTCGGACACTCAGGATACAGTCGATTACCAATACCTATGCAAAAGTGATGCAGTGGATTATAAGCTGTGATAATAAACATGCTAGGTGTAATTCTTCAATACTGAAGTAAATTTTCGTAATGTGTAGTTAAAATTATCTTTTAGTTTTGGCAACCTAATTAAACAAAAAAATAAGTTATTTTTACGACAATAAAAAAGGGATACTTTTGGATATCCAACTAAATTTTCCATTACAAAACGGTAACTAGATATAAAACCCTGACTCTACTCAAATAGTCTCGGTAATTATTTCATTTTTAGATGCCATTCCATAACACAAGAATTAAAAGTCGCTGAAATGAACAGCCTTTCAAGTAAATTACTTTGTATAATCAATAAAGCCATAAACATGTCAGTAGTTGTTTACACAATCGTAAAAAATTGTAGGGGACACTGGACATGTCTATGCTTAATACATAAAATACGACCACAGAAATTAGAGTACGAAGTATGTAGTAAGCACTTGTTATCCTTTTTCACGTTATTGGAAGTTTGAGGTCAAAACAAAAAACCTTAAAACTGAGTGGACTTATGCAAGAGACAACTACCATTAGATATTTTAGAAATAACAAATTTTTCAACTTCAATGCTATGAACATAAACATAACAGGAAGTTAAACAGCATTCCCACACATAAGTGTTAACACTTGACATGCACAGATAGAGTGAGCGATTAGAAATAGATGAATATACATATATATATATGCCACGAAAATTACCTGGTCGCGTGTTTGGCTGAGTAAGGAGCGATGGCAGCAAGCCTGATGATACCGTAGTATTCCCTTTGGATCCACTAGCACCATCAGAGGAAACAGAAACTTGTGCAACAGAAGCGAAGGATGACAATGTGGAAGGTGGAGCAGAAGATGAAATTTGATGTGATTGATCACCTAATGAGTGAATCTTCAAATCAGAAATGCTCATGCTAAAACTATTTTCCATAGATTGATTTGGTTCATTAAATGACTGTGTATTGTTATCAGGAAGGACGGAACACATCCCAGATGGCAGCATATCGCCATCATGCCCAAGCTCTATTCCTGAAGGTCTGGTATACATAGTGTTCGCGACGACTGATGAAGTAAAAACAAATGGGCTAAAAATAAGAGAAAAGTCTGAAGATCAGATAGCTGGAAAACTACTTTACACTGGCATCACAATCACAAAATTAACGAAACGTACCTGTTTTCTGACCCTGTGACTAGCATGGCTGGTGAGGCAATAGTAGGTGCTGATGTAGAGGTATATACAGTTCTAAGCACCTGCATAGGTCTAACAGGAGATTTTCTTCGACTGCTTCCAGAGGCTGAACTACAAGATAATACCGTTCCAGTATCAGTTAAAGTTGAGACCAAAATACCATCAGGACTAGCTACAGTACTAGGACCCGTGATTAAGGAAAGTTCAGGGGCAAGTAAGTCTTCTTCCAGATCATCTTGAGCCTGCTGGACGCGTCTGCTTATAAGTCCACGTGATTCTGTTAAGCCCACATCGTCTTCCCGTCCATTAATGTCCTCTGATGCTGTTCCTCCACGTGAAAACTGTTCTGAGTTGGAACTTGCGCAAAAATCGAGTATATCGCTGGGATGATGATCAACTGATGAAGAAATTCCATCTTCACGGAAAACTGTGGGATGTAAAAACGAGTTTGTGGAACCTGTAAAATAAAATTGAATAGCTATTACGAAACGTATAAGACGACCAAACACAAATGTTAACATGAGGAGTCACTGAAATAAGTGTGCGAAGATTTTGACAGTAAAGAAATACCTTTGTTTCAAACTGACTGATGAAAACTGTCAAGTAGAATATTGCATGTGGGCAAAATTATTTACGGTAGAGTACCAAGCAACATGATGATCAATAAAATCAGGACGCTTTATGTATACCTTTTATCAAAAATGAGACACCGCTGCTGACCACTTTTCAGAGCCATTCACTGCAAAATATTGTTGTCTAGTAAATTGCTTTCAACAGACACATGGACATCTAGTATCAAAAAAACTCACCTGTGTACAACTGATATCCGGCTAAAATATGATATCAACCCATGAAGTATGTAACTGTTAATCTGAAATATGTAAATATACGTAGACTGCTTATTTGGTAAGTCTTAAATTCCTAAAGTTGTCAACAGTTGAAATTTCCATTCTTTTCTACAGACCTTTAATTACCACTTTGTTCCCTACTGAGATCTGCACACTGTAATGTCACAATTATCATTTCTCTTCTTTCTGTATGCCTTTTTCTAAGTGTAGCTTCTTGAACTTATGAACATCATGTCAAAAGTTGTACGTTGACTACTCTAATGCTTTTGTTAATAAGCTATTCAGTTAATTTGTTCAACCACTTTGTTCAATAAACGCAAACGCTTCAATGAAAGCTTCTTATGAAATAATTTGCACTAGATAATTAGAAAAAAGTAGCCCGTAGATTATCAAGCAAACCGCTCACAACGCTAAATGAACAGATATCGGAAAACATTGTCTAGTTGAAAAATGTGCCAAAAACTAATCCTATTTTACCCTTAGGTTATGTGAAGCCTTGCATTCAATCGGTAACTAAGCAAAACACATATGTACGTCATAATGAAAAGCATAAATTACAACGCGGATAAGGGACCGATACGGCCAAAATGTGACCTACTGATCAAAACCAATGACAAAGAAATTCTCAAGCTATCAGTGTTCTAAAGCATAGATACAAGATTTGTAGCTCAAGGAATATCTGTTTGGATTGACGTAATCATACCTGACTCTGAATGGTGCAAATGCAAATGAGGAGAAATACATTAAGAAAAACATCACTTCAGTTGTTATTGAAATTCTATCGAAACATCAGGGTCTCATCAAGACGAATAAGATACGAATGTCGTACGCGCGGAGCAGGTTTCAGGTAGTGACTGGGTATTCAAAGTAGAAATTGCGCAAAAGTGCAGCAGTTGAAGTTACCACACTTTATATAGCACACAAGGGCTTGAAAAAAATTCAAGTGAACTATAGTGGGCGAAAATGTACGAGAGAAACCATATCTACTTGATGGAACATGAAGACTTATTAGGTCTAAGAGTTATAACCATGGACAAGAATTTTCCGTCACATCACTAACGACCTCATCAGTTCTTAGTATTTCAAGGGCTCCAACCAGGCGGTCTGTGCCTCCCCCTGTGGCTCGAAGCAAAAGTAGGGGAACTCACAAATTGAGGCCAGGTTTTTATTTGACTACCTTTAACTCTTTTCCGATCTAGTCCAATGCTATCTAACATTGCTCAACGAGGAATGGGATGGACTGACATGAGTAAAACGTGTCCTGTTTGTTTTATTCGGTGCAGATTTACAACTGATCTCCCGTCCTGATCCAGAGCTTTACGCACAATCACAACATTACTCTCCATTTTATAAAAATTAACACGTAGACAATTGTATTCAGACAGCTAACATCCTCAGGTCTTCCATTCTTAAAAACCACGTCTCATAGATATAGAGAAGGCTAGTGCAATTTTCTGCGTAGTACACACGTTTTTTGGTCGATTTCCAGATATCACGTCTATTCAAGAAATGACGTACTCTAGTTAGTGTTATACAGGTCTTTTGTATTCGTACTGAGATTCCGGCAGCAACCAATGCGTGGTCAAACTTGGAACAAATCTATTCCCTACAAACTAACTATTTAAAATCAATTCATCAGGGTTGATGCAACTTCCCAAATGAGTGAAGTGGTCAGAATGTTCTACCAGTTCACTATCTCGAGGCTAAAAGTTATAGTCCAGTCCTGCAGTGTCATCTTACATTAGACAAGACCGAATCGTATGCCAAAAATTCCAAGATTTTTGATGTGTTCATAACACTCTATTTTACTAACGTCTGCACCTAGGAGAACAATATCAGCAGCATATTCTCAGCCAACAAGACTGTTCCCTGGTTACAAGTCAATCACCAAGTCGTTTAAGTCAGACTAAATTCCATCCGACAATATATAGTTAAATAAAAAAATAGACAATGGACATCACTGACGGACACCACTGGTTGTGATTACCTCAGATGACAACTCCCCATAAGATCCCACACGGCGAACGTGCTTATTTTCCAGAATTTGTCAGGGTGAAGATATAATCAGTACACCAGGTCAATGGCCCAAAGTTAGACTGGTCTTCATAAATTTTTTTCAATCATCGCTTAGTCTATACATTATCCAACCTAGACCAGTAGATATTATGTCAGTTATTCTAATCCTCTTGTGATTATCATAAGAAGACTTGTCTGAATTCTTATAATCTGGCATAACCAAAGATTAACACCAGCTCAACGGGATTATCTCTAATTCCCACACATTATCCGACACCTTTGTCAACCTAGACGTTACTTCATCACTACAATCCTTAAACATCCCGCTGGTTCGCCTAGTTACACATTTGTGTGGGCAAATTAAGTGGTGGTAAGCCAGTCAAAAAATCACCTTAATCTTGCTTCCAAAGTCCCAGTCATCTATCTTGAAAGGTAGCTAGAACATCACCCTTCTTGGAATTTGTTTCACCTACCCTTGACTTTTTAGAATCTGCATACATAATTGGTCCAAATAGTTGCCTGGTGTTACCTAGCGTCGATACTCTTTCCATGTCTTTAGCTTTCGATGCTCAACAGTGTTAACGGTGATCCAAGCAATATAAACAAATGAGACGCAAAATCGGAAATATTTTGATACTTCATACAATCTCCACAAAACCAGAGGTAGCTCGATTTCCTGTTAAGAAACAAAACGTGCATTAAGCGATATTCATTCTTTTACTCAAAAAAATCCACCTACCTTTTTGGTTACTGTTTGGACTGAGTACACGCCTTGAGTTCACACGATTCTTCAGTCCAGATGGATCAGGTCTTCCATAATTGTCCATAAAATCTGAAGTTTCGTCTTGAGGAATATTCCCTCTTTTCTGAATGTCATTGAACACATCAGTATAAGTTGGTAGACACGATGTACCGGCATACTACAAAACAGAAAGTAGTGTTATACGTGAAAGAACAATTAATGTTAAGATCATTTTAACACAAGTTACAAGGCTTCCAACCCAACTCCATTCAAAAATTACACTAATGGGCATAACCACATTCCTATGCACTAAGGCTCAATGGTCAAAGATGACGACGACTATGCATTGATGCAAGTTACTTAACCACCAGCTACCGTGTACATTTTGCTAAAACATGCAAATGCTTTGTTTTGATAATCTTTCGATTGTAACTTTAAGAGTAATAAGTAAATATTACAAATCGCTCCCACAGAAACAGACTGACAGACCAGCGAAAACCATCAATACAGTCTCACAATTTTTCTGCAAGAAATCGGTACAACTTTCGAATGTCCAGAGGTAATCAAATGTAATGTGCCGGATGTTCCGGTAACACAGGTCATGAATAGTTAAACTATAAAGTGGCTATCAGAAGTTAACAATTCTTGGTGAAAAAACACCTAGACCAACGAAACTTCGAACCCATGACTACGGCGACGGACACATACTTGTGACTGTTCAACCCGACTTACTACTGGGTGCCGTAGTATTCGGCTAAAACAAGCGTTGCATCCGGGCGTAAAGATGTCAAATAAGTTCATTAAGTCATCGAAGTGACCTCGACTACGTAGGTGGGATGTGATGACACTGAAGAATAATAAGGGTTCAGGTTTCGAGTGACAGGTTGACAGTAAGTAGCGACGTCATGCATATCGAAATCGAAGCTCGAGACGTATCTACCCTCACTTATTTGTGTTCTAATTCATTTCCAAGATTCTTCCCGCTAAGAAATGTCAGCCAAAAGCTACACTACTGTGCAATGTTCTATACAGTAGGTCGACAATTCGTATGAGGCTGTTATGCGACTCATTCAACCGAAAATAGTAGTCAGTTAAAAAAGATGCAAATAACATTTGTCATAAATAATACTGCATACTGGAAATCATAGTTTTGAGTGACATTTCAATATCCGGCTACTGGAATCATCAATCCCTGCATAACAGACATGGTTCACTACCTGCATAGACCTTAACATGGTGTCAGGTCCCAACAATTAACTAATGGAAACTGTCACGATTTACTTTACAGGAGTACTGAAAACCACCATAGAGTCGTAACTTATTCGAAATGTAAGTCTTTACTTAGAAACTGAGGACAGAAGTGCAGATTATCACCGCCCAACACTGGTGTGTATTTGCTATCTTTTCTGTGGAAACATGATACAACGTCCTTATTGATCAACGGCGTCAGTTACCACTTACAAGAATGCGATGCATTATTACACCCTAACAATATAATTAATTACATCGCTTGCAAATTATAAACACAGAGGACTCTGAGATGTCGTTGCGGAGAGGTGAAGTCAGTAATCTGAAAACAGAAGTAAGCAGCTGAGTGAACTAAAACGTACGCAGAAAAAAGCGAACGGTATAACGACCGATCCTGTTCTCCCAATTATCATCCATATCCAGTGTTTCAACTAGTTCCACATGAAACAGGTAACAGAAAACCAACTACTGTTTCACAGTGGTCCTGTCACTACATGTATCTGTACACTCCCAACAAAGTGACGAATAAAAACCGATCACATACATGAAGTGCTCGGACAAAAAACCGAATCATATGCATAATGGTAACAGTGTAGGTGAGATATCCATGCACCTAAAAACAATTCGAAGTATTGCGTGATAAATAATGCTATGATGTGTAGCTGCAAACTACCAGCGTCAGTCGTTACCAGTTTGCAACGAAATCGGGATCATCCACATATAGAAATTCTGTTTCATTTGTTCAAGGCAATGTGCCAATATTGAACTCTGACCAACTAACACGGTAAACCAGTTATACACAGCAAATAACCCATGGAAAATTACAGAGACGTTCAAATACAGTCATCTACTTCCAGGAGCCAAAACACAGGCCCTACTGCTAGGGCCAAAATGATCTCACAACCGAGTATGCTACTCTTAAAATGCTTTTAATGCAAAAATATAAAAATTCCCACATTATCTGCTGCAGTTGTACGAAAATTTAATTAGAAAACTTACATAATCTTTAGGAGAAAGGACTACATCGAGTTCACCATCATCTTGTTCATCGGATGAGTAAAAGCCTTTGTTGCATTCATCACTTTTTGACCAGTTAGTACGCTCCAACTTGGAATTCAAACGTGATTTCACTGTGGGAGCCAAGACTTTCTTTCTGATACGCCGCCGGCTGTCCGCGACGAAAGACTGATTGTACACAGAATGCTCGTTATCTGATTGAGAAGGACTATAGTCATGCTTCGGCTTTAGGCGGCGTCCGTGTCGGCTTCGCACATGCGAAAACAGGTCACGGCCACCTGATTGCTGCAAAGAGACCCTGGACTTAGACTTGTGTCTTCTAAGCAGATTAGCAGACGAAACAGCCATGAGAGCAGCTGTTGATCGATCTGAGAAGTGCAGGAACTTTTTCTGTCGACGTTTCGGCGGCTCTACAACGTCATACAGGAACCTTTTGTTGATATAATTCTCAGCTCCTGACCGTTTGCGCTTCTGATCTGAAGAAATTAAAGAGCTATCATCGAACTCATTGCGCCTCTGCTTCGACTCAGACAACTTCAGTTTCTGAGCAGAGCTCACTCTACTTGAGCCAACAGTTTTCTTGCTAGCAGGCATGCGACTACCTTTAGTACTGTTATTCTCTACCTCTTGGTTCCTTAATCAACACGGTCAACCACACAAGCAGCAACTTACAAGGTAGGTGTTTCGTCAATCACTTCATCCCTTGAACTGGATTTTGTACTCCTACAATTAGAATTGACAATGTGATCATACCTGGTAGGTCTAACACATCTATCTCTTATTTCTGGTTTTATTAGTATAGGATTCGGGACAAATTTACGAGAAACTCTGATGCAACTTATTACAAAATTGCACAATGCTGCTAGTTACCTAATATCGTTTTTTCTGGATCGCATTTCTATACAGTTTCCACACAATTACTGTAATCCATAGTACAAAGGAAGCGTCAACACTCAGTACTTCCACAGTTTACCTTTGTCAATCTACCTGACAGCGTAGCGCAACAATGAATATCAAAAAATATGGTGACTTGAATGTAAACAAACAAACATACCCAAAATTCTCAGGTCATATTAATTTTTGTAGACCTTAAGTCAGACCTTATCCATTCTTTTGAAAATCCAATGTATTCGCAAAATCAATCATTCTGACACTCTAATTTCAACCGAAGCAACGTTCAATATATTAATGTTTTACGAGTTGGTACAAACTAAAATGACTTCTTTACACTTACTTGTGCGGGAAAGAGTTCCTGAGGCTCACTGGTTTTCTTCAGTTCCTTCTACGTTCTTAATGCCTCAGTACGGAAGTTCATCTTAATCAATTTGAAAGTTAGTGGCCCCGGTCGAGATCATGATGCTACTTTTATCTAAGTTGTTTGTTTCACCGGTTAGAAAATCAATATATTTGTAAAGAATAATTTAATGATGAAGATGACAAGAACAACGACAATAGCAGCGAAAAGAAAGATAAGCAAACAGACAGTGAAAATGAGTAAACCAGTGAACAAAAAGACATTCTATGCAGCTAATATCATAATAATTGAAAACGTGAAGCCGATATATCTGTAGAGGGAGGTAATTCCCCAAAATTATTGGCCACAGCATTTATGACCAAACATTGGATGCTGAACCTCACTGTTTAAGTCAACTCGTTTAACTGAAGGCTTCCGGTCAAGCATCCATGCCATTTATCACGTTGTCGTATTACATTCTTTCGTTCGTGGACTTTCCGTTGCTAGTTAAGCAGTCATCTCAAACTCCGATTCCGTCCCGAAATACAGTATGTAATTTGGCGGATCAATTTTGTTGTTTTTCTTCACTTTCGGTCTACGTGGAACGAATACAATAGAAGTTGTGGGTATTAGATCTTGCTTTGGTATACTTAGTACTATCCGTGAACGTGAACACCCTAAGCATCTAAATATCTGTCTGAGCCATTTGAACATGCGAAAAATGATGTCAGATCCCACTGTATTTACCGATTCGAAAGTACGTGTTGACACGCTTGCATAAAGAGGACTTATCGACCTCTGCAAGTAAAAGCTTCACAGCAAATTCCTAAATGGCTCCAGAAGCAAACAAAAAGCCAGAGCCCATTAATGATGAGAACAGGAGACCCAGATCCTCTACTGTGGAATATAGTTTACGGAAAGGACGTAAAGTTGCTGTTTAGATGTCTTTTAAACCTGTTCTACTTAGTCTCTACCTGTAATTACCTCTGTTGCTAACCTGACCTAAGTTAAAACATTTTAGTCAATTGTATTACGTCATCTAACTTACTAACTCAATCTTAATTTAATTGCTGTCCAATTAACTTTGTTTCTATATTAGATCATTCTTTTATTACCTGATCAATTATCTAATTTTGACAAACCTCATGTACACACACACACTCAAATAATTATATATAAATGCGATTGTACAGCTATGTGAATGAATTCGCCGAAAAGAGTCTCTTCGCTGAACGTCTTCTCTTTTTCATGTTTAGAAAATGTTTTCGGGTGCGTTCTTAGTTTGTGGAAACCCTAGCTGGCGATTAGGAAAGTGGAACCACCTTTAAGTGTTCAAAAACAGTTCGTCACCACACTAAATCTTCCTTGGTAAATTCTGTTTCGATACCATTGCAGATTTCCTATTGCCTCTCCTAAACGGTCTAGTGGTCTTCATTGCAGTTTTGACCTTCAATATATCCTACTAAGTTGACCTAAGTTTACTTTCTCACCTCTTAACTCTTTATTAATTTCATATATATATATATATATATATTCCTATGACAAGTCCGTGTGTGATCAGATTTTTCGAAGCATGTTGTGGAAATACATCACATGATTCAGGAAAATCACATATTGCTGCTTTATCGGAATTCATAAAAGGAACTGGTCGTTTTAAACAGAATTAGAGGAATGCGGACTTTAGTCACAGGATCAGTGGGTCGAGTGTGGAGAACAACTCCGTTTGACTACGGCTGGTATGTTGCTCTGCTATTACCAAGCCAGTATTTACATATATTATCAAGCAGTATAAAAGCAACACGTTTCAAGCGCTATCAATGTCGATTAACTTTAAATGGATATCCAGTAACCTTGCCAATTCTGATAATTGACATAAGAATACAACTTCTGTATTGTGGTAGAGTGAAGTTCCATTATGGGTAAATGTTGTTTTGATAAAGTCTCACAGTGTTATACAGTAATGTTTACTGATGACGTTTCGAGCATAATTTATTGCTCATAATCATATCAAGTTACTCACACGACCTCGTAAATTCATTTATATAGTTCCATTGTTTTTCTCTTGATTTTCACTTGATTTGATGGTAATTGTATTTTCCATATTTCAGGTATGAGTGACGAGTCATTCCTATTGCATGAGTTGGGTGTAGACTCGATGAACAAGGATTCAGTAATCAACCTCTCTCTCCACCTATTGAGATTACTTTTTAGAATTTTAACCCTCTCCCATCCTACTGTATGGTTGTGTTAATGCATGCATTGCAATTATATTATATTATAATCTATATTTTCATATAAACATATGAATTTACACGAAAATGCATGCCATTTTTACAGGCACCATCAAGTATGATATATTATCAAATCGTAGATTGTCTACAAGTTAATAATGTTTCAACAGCTAAATATTTGATATATATACACACTCATTGTCTGAACCAGGCCGTATAGTTATTGAATTGTACAGTTGTCCCCCAGGTTGACCGGGAAAATCGACTTCGTTTCGTTTTCATCCCGTGGTTGTAAGCATACGATAACCAACCAATATTGAGGTAAGTACAACGTTGACAAGGGAGTAAAAGCTGTTTTAGAAAAGTAAAAGTACTAAGGTGAATCAATAAAGTGTAATGAAATGGGTAAGTGCAAGTGTCACTAATAAATGCATTAATGAAGGAAACTCCCTAGGCTGACAACGTTCATTTGCAATGTATACTGCTGCCCATATAGGTCTTACTATCATGATGTCCACTTTTGGTTTTAATACATTTTTTCCTCATGCCGGTTTTTTATTTTTAATGCCTTTCTGTGCATTTGGTGCACAATCGTGTCCTATAGAGAATAAGAATAGAATAAGTCGAATCAAATTCATAAAGAGCTACAAAATGTTAGCTTTAATGGAATATAATGAGGATCAAGTAAAGACGTTATTAGAAAATGAATCTGATAAGACATTGTGAAGTGGTATTTAAAGATCCGACAATGGACAGCAAGTTAGTTTATAAGATGCCCCATAAATCTGTTCAGAGCCCACATGGTCGCATCTCAACAATAAGCTGAGCGAATTGTATATATTTAAGGGCAGAAGCATGATCTGTTTAGGCGTTCATTATTATCTTTTTCAAGATAAAGATCTAAGCCCTCATAAAATTCGGAAAGATCTCGAGCCTTCAAATTGCGTATTGCTGTTCCTGCAGAATGGGGCGATTCACCTTAGTGACCCCCACCAAATCTACTGATCAGCTAGCGTCACCCTCCCTCATTTTATGATGTTAGGCTCTGAGACTATGATTACTATGGCTACGGAAAATATATTGCTTGGTACCAGACATGTTTGTACCTCATATTCCATCTCCCCAGCTTACTTAATGAGTGCTTGCAATAGGTCTCCGCGTACATCTTTATTAACATATTATATATGTGTGTATGCGTCCTAATGAACAGATTACTTTATAAGAAGTTAAAACGTTAAAGAGTAAAAAGAATAGGTTTTGTGAATAGCAGAGCAAGATTCAGCAGAACACTATAGTTGGGGTTAACTGTAGGTAGTATGAACTGAATATAAGTTCGGTTGGCGGGAGTTATTGTACTAAATTATCATGACAGTCTTATATATAGGAAACATCTGACATTGCAAAGTAACGTGTCTAAACATATTATAAAAAGATATTAACACTGAACCAACAAATTTTAGCATTTGGTTAACAATACTGCAATGTGTGTATACTGAAGAATGGCAGTTGGTCTACAGGGGACCGTAAAGTAAATCGATCTATATATGATAAGTGTATAATTAATATTATAATTCGTATTATCGAAGAATACACTAGGCTCAATAATTGAGTGTTATAAGGGAAACAAGCGTTGTAAAGCAACAGAATATTTGCTGCATAAATATTTTAATCATTTTAAGTAGTGAAACAATTAGTGACAAAGTCATGTTAAGTGGTCCTGAGAAAAGCAACTGGTTAGCAGAGCTTGTTATGCTAAATTTTGGCGACCGATTTTATATGGTGTGCGTTAAACGTTGAAAAGTGACTCTTCAACTATACTACATAGTTATATATATATATATATACTACATAGCTATAACATTATGATTTTTAGAAAAATATATAAAAATTGGTAACTGTCAGCCACGTCTCATAAACCGTTAATGCCCAGCTCTTGCTACGCTCGGGCTCACGCTGTTCCTTGAAGTTTCTCAGAAACGCTTAGTAATAACGGACGCAAAAACCAAAAGACCGATTGGCCACTCGAGAATTCTTTATTGTTATACCAACATATAAACACTGTTATAACTAAGGTCTGTGAACAAATATTACAATAATAAATCACAATTTTACTTTTGACGGTTTACTGCTGACTTCTTTCTGAACAGCGACCCATGAGACGATGACTGTCGTATTGATGCCTCCGCGAAAATTGGGGAAGTTGGTTTTGAGCAAACAACCATGAATTGATCGTTCAATCTTCAACTCCATTGACACTCCCCGGCAAAAAAGGGATCCAACCCTTTTTTCCTTCACGACCAATACACGTTGACTTGGATGCCATTGCGAGAATCTGGGTCACATGGACAGAGCTGAAATGGAAAACAAACAGAAAATCCAACACACCACAAGCATACCCACAGCACAATCTCACACATCGCTGACGACCTGC